CTCTTCAGAGAGGAAGAAGAGTTGTGTCAGTTTAGGAAGATGAGGAAGGCAAGGGCTGAGGGAGAGGATCTGGCTATTGAATCTTAGTCCTGCAGTGCATTTTAGCAAGCCATTTTGTCGGAATCATCCATACAACCCATGTATTTTACAAGGCACAGGATCAAGGTGTATGGTACAGATACAAGTAATATATCCTTGTACCTATACGTGTGTAAAGGTACAGAGAAACAGGGGGAGGTAAAACACCTGAACTATTTCCTTAGGAGAAGTCTGTAAGAGCTAGTTTGCCTTTTAACCCATACCTGTGGGTTAGAAACCTTTTTGTACAAGATCTTAAAGGATATGCATAAAAGATAAATAAACATGTAGGATACAAGTGATATAAGGATATAAATGATGTAATGATCTTCTTTTGTAGATCAAAGGAGGATATTGGAATTAAGAGCTTTTAATTGGATAACAATACCCAATTGGAAGAAAATGTGAAACTAGCGTGTGTGTAGGGGTGGGAAACCAGCCCAGCATGAAAGGAAGTCCATCTACTTAGAAATACAACAGGAAAAAATACATTTATTCACATCTTACTAACTAGCAAAATAAGCTGTGTGTTGTACTAGGCCTCTTTCCACAGGAGACCTCCCTAACATGCTGTGGAGCGGAGAGGAGGAAGCAAGGGTAAGGCTGGCATGTGCTTTTCAGTCTGTTTTCCATGCTGTGCCTTCTTCTTTAGAAGCAGGCGTTATTGGTATAGAATAAACACACTTAAAGCAGATGTGTACATAGCTTCGTTCAGCCCTGAGTTTGCGAAGTCTTTAGTGATACTTTTGGAAGGATTGGTTCGGTGCTGCGATCTGTGTAACACTCGAGCGTTTGCAAGGTTCAAACCCTCAAATTTAATTTCAGCTCTATCTTCCAAGTGAAATTGCTTAGGTGTGACGCAGGAAGTTGTTAGCTTTTAATCTCTGGAAAGCGCGGTACAAAATGAAGCATTAGAAACTAGTTCAGTATCTTAGGTAATATCTAGAGGAAGAGCACAACCAATTTGTTTGTAGTGCTTAAGTTCAGTAATTAAGAAGAGAATTACTTCTTAAGCTACTTCATGGCAACACATATTTATATTGCTAAATTGATACAGCCTCCTAAACATCTGAAAAACATCCTCCTACCTTGGATATTTTTAAAGATTTTCCAATATGTTGTCCTCTTTTTAGGACTCATCTAGAGAATTTCCTGAGATTCAGTTCAGTTACTGAAGAGTTATGAGGACAAAAGACACCAATACAAAAGTTTTACTCTCTATGTATTTTAACCATGAAACCTTTTTTTAATGATACAGAAGTAGCCGTTTCTTTCAGAAGTTAAAAAGAAAATCAATGTTTCCTTAAATTTGAAATTTGTCTCCCACGCTGCAGTCTTTTAGTACGAATGAAATCTGTATTAAAAACAGAAGAGATTTGCTTTGTCTGCCTCTTACTGGAAAGTGATTTTCTGCAGCTCCCATTCAGTGAGGCATCTAAATGTTTCTCTAACTTCATGTTTAGCAGTAATGCAGATGTATGTTTAAGATGGATTATGTATTGTATGGCCGAGGCTTTAATGAATGTAGACACAAAATAGAGCTGATGCACCTGTTATATTCTCCAGCGGCCCCATGGACCAAATTTGACCACCTACTTAGACTAATTGGTTCAACTGTGGCCTCCACGTATGACGAGACATGAAGGATCAGAAGGGAGGCTCTTAATCCCAGTAAGTAGGAGATTTCCAGGGGAAACAGATGCCCTCGTTGTTGAAATTCCCAATATATCTACCTAGGCCCACTGGAATTATTTTCAGTTAAGCCTCAATTCTGGTAGTCTATGTGCTATTCCTACAGCCTGTCTAAGCATCCAGCACAAACTGAGCTGTGAGTTTGGCCATGGTTATCTAAGTGAGCAGATAGCTGTCACAAGGAATAAAACCAAGAGGAATTGCAGAGCTGCTTGTTATGTCTTTAAAAGCATCAGGCAGGAAAGGCTACTGCAATGCAGGAGATACGCAGCTTCCTTTCCATGGGACAGATTTACACCCTGGCTATAAACCACTTCTGAATTGATAAGGACAAGCTATTTAATGGATTTAAAGTCTCTTCAGCAAGACTAATGCTCCAGAGCTGCTGCATGATGACAAATTTGAACCTGACTGGGAGACCAGAGCTGGTGCTTTGCCAGGGCTCCATTCAGCAGTAAGGAAGTCCTGTGCATCTTACTTTCACGTATTCCAAGACGACTGAGTAAGGCTCCCCACAATGCCTGATAGGAGTATTTCTTCCTTTACTTAGGCAACTTTCTGCATTTTCCTCATGTGAAAAAAATCAACCTGAAATTCAGAGGTGAAATGTGATCCTTACTTAAAACTGAATCAACTCCGCCCCATCTGGGCCCTTTTTAAAGGCAACTTACCCTCTTACCTCTGGGCTCCTCCTTACCAGCTAGGCCCTGCTGCTGGTCCTCACCTGTCAGCGCAGGTGTGAAGACCAGCTGAAGGATTTGCAGGGGGCAGGATGGCACCATCTAAGGACAGACCCTCAAATCTGTAGGAAATCATGGTTTACCACTGCTGCTTCTCAAGGTGCAATTTGTTTATATGCTCAAGGGCCTGAAGGACAGTGCTTGTGTGACTTGTAGGAGCTGGAGCTGGTGCAAGGAACAAAGCAAATGGAGTCTCCAGTCTCACTGCTTGGCGGCCAAGGCCAAACCCCTGCCCTGCAGCCATATGATCCTGCTTCAGTAGTGACTAACTAGTGCCATTTGGTGATAGCTGTCGCTTTCAGAAAGCTAAGAACAGCACCAGAATTACTACTAGAGATAGTTTCACAACCTTAAAAAATCCGTGACTTGCCTGTATGAATAAATGATTTGTGTATAGGTATATTTGTTATAGGTGGTTCAGAAGGGCTTTTCAAAAGTTACAAATCATGCACAAGTGAGTGCCTAGAGACTGGTGTGACAGGACTACTTTAAACAGTTTCAGAGTACTGAATAAATTCACAACATTTAGTTGAGGCATTCAAGAACATGATAGTTAAGTAATGGAACAATGCAATAGGAATAAAAAGGACAGCAGCACAGCATAATTTCCTTGTGTAGCCACTATTTGTTTGCTTTTAAAAATATGCCTAACATTATCTCAGAGAGTTTCTGAAAAACTTCCTTTTAACCCCCACTCTTCTTCAAGTTGTCATAGAATGAGTGAGCTCTCTGTTCTGGTGGCCACAAGGACTGCTGCAGCGATGTGTTTCCCTGCTGTCCAGTGCACTGGAGTCCCAGTGACAGTACCTATCACTGCCGTCACTGTCCCTGCAGTTCCTGGATGTAGCGATATTGTGCAGCTTCATAACAAGTGGAAAGTTCCACCTAGCCACAGATTTAAGTGTATGAAGTTGTGTTAGAGCTAAGCATGTTAGATAAAGGCACATAAGTTTGATTAAAGATTTTCAAGACAGATCTTCAACTAGCATAACTAACTGGTATTGGATGGGGGGGGGGGCAGGCATCACAGGGTGATTTTACTACCTATTCTACTGGCTAAAGTTTTGCTTGCTTTTTTTTTTTCCCCTTAGCTCTTCCCTGCTTTTAGAGTGCCTGGCTCCGTTCTAGAGGAAGGAAGATCTGCATCTGGTTTCTCTGGTAAGGACACGAGGTTTGTTATTCAAATTCCAGAAGGAGTTGTAAAGGTTCAAATCACACACGATAAACATTTCAAACTTTACTGTTGGACTTGGAGGTGTGCACAGAATGTTCACAACTGGGCACGTCATCTTTTCTAGCAAGTATTTCTTAGGAATGTAAATTCCCATGCAATAGTTGTCATATATTTTTTGTTCTGTGCACAGCAAACTTGGTAATTTCATTAGAATCTATAAACCAGCTACTCATGTCTGGTATGGAAATAAGGAGAAGAAAATGTTGGTAAGTCTGAGCATGTCTTTGTGCTACTCAGTGCTGTGCTTTGATATATATATTATTTTTTCTGCTAAGATGATCAAATGAGCCTTTTAGCTTTAGTAGGTGACACAGGCAGGTGGAAAAGTGCAGAAATGTTTCACAAAAAAAACGCAGAAGAGACAGGGCTTTGTAATGTGGAAGATAAGGGCCTCTGCACTAGGAAGAAAAGAGCTTCCAATGGAGAGGGTGGTCCTGCAGTCACAGCTATTGCAAGAGAAGGTGGAAAGGCCAAGTGTAGACCTGAACGAGTGGATTTTTTTTTTTTTTTTTAATTACTGCTTTTGTTATACAACTCTAATCTACTGACATAAATTATGTCCAGCATTCTTCTGGTCATAGAGGCAACTAATTGAAAGAAATATATATTCTTTATTCACCCCAGGTGTAGTCCAGCTACAGCATTTATAATCAAGACAAACTTCTTACTTGTCTTGGATGGAGCTCTTAGTAGGAACATGTTGCTGATCAGGTCTCTTGTTAGCAACAGAAATAGTCATTGGATAAAGATCTGATACTTTTGTATCACACACTAATGTCCAAAAATATACAACCAAACTTGAGGCTTAGAAAACTGAGTAAATTCCTTTCATGATCTGCGATTCAGTAGAGCAGAAAGACAAGAAAAAAAATGTTAACATAAGTATCAAAAATATGCTCTTTACTATATGGTGTAGATGGTGTGATCTGTCTGTCTTATTTCAGGAAAGATCAATATACTTTTTTATGGTCATGGTTAGTATGACAGCCATTTCTCTATCACTGTGGAACATCCATGACCCTGCTCGTTTGGCTTATTCTTTGGGGATGACCCTCTGAATACGAGCAGTGTCTCTGAAAAGATATCAGGCTTTTGCAAAAGACTCTGAAAGAAGTGAAAGCCTCAAAGGCCAATTTAGCTGCTTCCTCTTGCCTGCAAAATTACATGTCTGGAGACATTCAGCTAAGGAAGTACTTGATTATACTATTGTTCAAAGAATAATCAAACAACCTCCAAATGATAATGACCAAAGTAATTTTGGTTACTTTCCTTTATTTAGAAGTTAGAGCTAGACATGGATAGAAAAGATAATTTCATAATACAAGAAGGAGAAATAAAAGAGCTGTACAGCTAGGAATAGAGACATAAGCTACTCTTATGCAGACTGTTTATAAGATAACTCGGTGAAAGCTTTTCTGATTTTGGCAATAAATGTAGAAAAATTGTTAGTTTCTCTCACTTTTTGCTGGAACTCTGCTATACATTCCAGGGGAGGAGAACAGGAAGTCACTGAAATGACACAAATTTCCAAAAGATAAGACTATGTTTATAAATAATAACAATAGTGTTTTCATACACATAAAATACAATTTAGTTCATTACCTTAGCTTTAGTTTCTTGAGCACTGAGTGACCTATTAATCTTTTTTTTTTCAGTGCAAAGCCTCAAAGAGCACACAAATGTTTTCTAATTTCCAGACCTCCCACTCAGTGCTGTGCTCCTGCTTTAATTTCACTTGAATTGTTACAGCAATTGCCAGCCTGCCTCAAAGGCTGGAATATGTTCACATGCGTTTTTGTTGCTGAGCAGGTGGATAGACTCAAAATGGATGCAGCCCAGCATGTGACAAACTTGGGGCTTGTGCACACCTTGTATATGAACTGGTAAAAACAGAGGCCTCTCTCTGTCCATACTTAGGAGCCAAAGCAGAGAGACAGTGTACATCCAGGTGCTAGTTAGACCAGTAATTCAAATTACTTCAGTTAAAAAAAAAAAAAAAGGCAATAAGATTTGTATTGCAAAAATAGCTTTAAAATCTGAGAGGTTGTACCCTTTACAGAAGAGAAAGGCTGATTTTCTAGGTTTAATCTTTCTCTCTCTCATCATACAACTATAAGAATTTCCTAGCGAGGAACATAGTTTTTCGGCCTGCGAGGCTTCTGAGCAGATTCATATACACGTCAGCATAAACAGTTTCCAACAGAGGGGAAAAAGCCACAACCACAAATAATTTCTTTCTATATAAGGCTCCTCACTTCTACTTTGCTTAAGCAGCAGCTCCACCAATGAAGGGGAACAAAGATAAGCAGTTGTGTTTTCATGTATGAACTAAGAAGCTCTATTAAAAACAGACTAGCCTTACCACATTTTTCATTTAGAGGTTTGGAAGAAAAAGTTACAGCTAAAATGTATTCAAACCCCTCTCTCCCTTTTTCAGACAGAGGCATCACATTCTGTTCTCTTACTCAAGTATTTTAAAATTACATACCTTCATAATCTCCCTGTTCATTTATGAAAAGGGTAAATGTATACGGCTTTTCGGGGTCTTTGTGGTCAATGTGCCTGAAGATAAACTGCAACTGTTCATCTAAAGCAAATACAACAAAGTCCATTGTCCAACAGAGTCCAAAACAAGACCATTAACATTTGCTGGAGAGCCTCCATGATAACTAATAATCACAGTATTCAGCGGCAGCTCAGTTTCAATTAACAGTCTTCAGAATACTCACTAATTAACCAAACCACTTGGCAAGACAAATGTGTTCTAATGCACCTTCTTCTGCCACTTGGGAGACAAGGGTAACATTTGGGATGAGGAGGGGAATGACTGCCTTTGAGTTGGCTGACAAAGCTACCATTGCCCTGCTCAGCTTTACGAAGGAATGTGAACAGCTGCACTGCTCTTCACTCCTTAGCCACCCTCCAGGCAGCAGGACTCACCTCCAGTGAAAATGACCACAGTGATGGCCTATCATTAAGGAGAGAAGGCATAACACCCTACTGACACTTAAACCAAAGAGAAAGTTTGAGCTGAGACTTGCACTCTTCCTCAGTATGTGGCTTGGTTTATTCTTCACTACACAGTCCAGCGTTAAGCATTATACTGCTGCACTTACCATGGATTCTGCGGATTTCCAGGCCAAGACGCTCTTCAAACAATGCTTTAGACTTGCACAGTCGTTCCATTCTCTCCTTAGTGGCCTTGTTTTTAGAATCTATTACTAGAATTTTAAAAGTTATTATAAGGATCAAGATAGAGGTAAAACAGGTACAAGAGACTCAGGACAGTAAAAAAGTCTGTCATGAAAAAGCACTGAAAACCATTCTCTAGCTCAGAAAAACTACTTGCTGTTTTTACTGACTGAATTCATACCTATTAACATCATTATTTTAGGACTCAGATAATTGCTCTAAAATGTAGTTTACTGAATAATCGGTAATTAATTAAACCGTCCGAAGATGACAAGTGAAAGCTTTTTAAATGAAAATTTCATTGATAAATGAACCTTTAGCTTGCTTTGAAACTTTTCTTCACCTTATCTCCACATCCTGCATCTTTATTAGTTTGGACTTTATTTGGTTACCTAGATTTATTAGTTTGAGGACATACAGCAAAGCCATTGCATATTCCGGAAGGCTTCTGTATTTGTTTTTGTTTTGTTTTTTTTCTTTGGTCTTAATTCAACTTCAGAACTTACTTTTCTTCTTTTCTATCAGCTCTTCTTTAAGTTCTTGAATGCTGTCCGTCAAGCTCTTATTTTGCTCTTCTTCATGATTTAGGTTAGCTTTTATTTCTGTAAAGTTTTCCTTATTTTCTGATATGAGTTTGTTCTGCTGCAGATTCTCTGAAATCAATTAGGAAAATATTAATTACAGTAAATTAATTAGGTCCTCAATATTTATTCCATACCTATATCAACTGAGATGACTCATTTGATTAAAATTCAGAGGAAGGCAAACTGCATCAACTGGACACTTAATCTGATAGTCTCTTCATAGTAAGGCATCTACACAGAATTAACCAGGAGAAAAGACGCAGAGTAGGGAGCTCCTCTGGCATTTCAAACATACACCATATGTTCCTAGTGCCAAAATGGTATGTTAGGTCAAAGCCTAAACATAATGGATTCTTTCCACAGAGAAATCATTTGACAGAAAACAAATGGAAATGCTGATTGCTGGTGTAATCACAATTTATTTTTACCTAAAATCCTGAAGGTTAATTACAGAACTCAGCATAGTTAATGCTGGACAGATAGGCTGACTATGTTCCACTAATGGAACATAGTCAGTTCCACTAATGGAAGTTCCATTTAGTTCCGCTAATGAAAGAGACAACGGAACTTCACAACATTTAGCTTCATGTATCCATTTCATTTACTTATCCCACTGCAGTGGGCAAGTGCTGTACATTGTTGTTCCTAATTTTAAGCGCTCATCGCTCTGAAGAGACAAGAACACCATTTGCAAAACTTTAACATGCACAGTTTACATCCTATAACGAAATGCGTTTTAAATTCACTTTGCCCTGGTTTTGCAGTTTGTCTTTAGGTCAGCTTAAAAGTATTATTCAGTTACAGAAGGTTAATTTTAGAAGCATCAAATATAACAGATAAAGCTCCATACTGTACCGTTATAATACTCCTTAATTTTGTCAATCATCAAGTCCTCTTCGTTTAATTTCTGAGACCATTTCTCTGTAATGGAAAGTTATTTGGAAAAGTTATTTCTCTGTAATGGAAAAGAGTTGATAAGGTGAACGCAGAGATACCGTGAGCACACGGCCTCCTTACCTGTCAGTGCTTTAATGGACTCCTTGCACGAATCCCTGAGCGCTATAGTCTGGTTGCCCTGCTCGCTGCCGTAGATGCTCTTGAAGCTGGCCCAGAACTGCTTTATCTCCTTCTCAATAGCAGCTATCTCGTCCTCCGCCCTGGTGCCGGCCATGGTGCTGCCGGTGCCACCCGCGGGCAGAGCGGAGAGCTCGGGCCTGTTTCTAACGGCTGCGGAGCGGCCGTTACCGCCGCCCGAGCGTCTTCAAACTACCGGCGCTTCCCGCCACCCCAAAAGCCGCTTCCCCATTGGGTCGCGTAACAAGAGCACGGCTGATTGGGCCGCACAGCGTCCCGGCTCGCGCGCAGCCGCGGGGCATGCCGGGAGCAGCCGTTGCTGAGGTAACGGCTGCGCGGAGCCGAGCGGGGTTTTCTGCTGCAGCCGCCGCTGCGAGGCGGGGCCCGGGGCCGCTGCCGGCCCGGCCCGGTCCGTGGCGGCGACAGCCTTGGCCGCTGCTGTACGTGGCGCCGGCGGAGCCGCGCACGGCGCTGCACAGCGGTGCTGCTCTCGACTCCTGCCGGGGCTGCGGAGCTGGCGTGAATCCCCGCGCAGGGCTCAAGGACGCGCGAACTGACGCTGAGATGGGGCGGGGACGATACCCGGCACCGTGTGGAGTCGGGCGTGATGCAACCTGCAAACCTAGCTGAATGAAGCTTGCTGGTGTAAAATGTAAAAGTCACCTCAACGTTGCTGGCCTTTATCATATGAGCTGATCATTTTCTCAGTATAATTTTTCCTCTGCCCCATGGGTTTGTGAAATACAATTGTGACTAACTTAAAAAAGTCTCATCATTGTTTTGGTGGATTTTTCAATCTGGTTTTGTCTGCATATCTTTTACCCTGCAGTTGCCAGGCTGAACTCTGTAACTATCTTTTTCACCAGTTAAGTTTCTCCCAAGGTTTTGTTAATTGTGTCCCTTTGTTGTGAACCTTCACCAGCCAGGGGTTAAGTATAACCATGATATTCACTATCAGCAATTGTGCCTTAATTGGTAGTCTTTTTTTTTTTTTTTTTTTTTTTTTTTTTTTTGGCATTCTTTTTTTTTTTGTGACTGGAGTTCAGACGTGTGTTTTTCCCCTCTCTTTCTGATAGCTTTGGACATCCTTGCTTGCAACTTTCTGGAGTTGTGAGCTTAGAGCATAACATAGGCCGCCTTTTACTGTCCCTCTACAAACTCAGTCCGGAACAGACTTTCCCAGTGCACATTTAAATGAAGCATTGTGGTTTTGGTCAACAGTATTTTCCTGCTCATACTGACAGTTCTTTCCTACCACAAATAGGCCAATAGAAATGTGGCCTCGTGACCCTAAGTAGCACCAGTCGTGTACGTCTGAAGTCCCCTGTGAGGTGTAATTCAAGAGGCTCCCTAACCCAGGAGGCCCCTGATCCTGTCACAGCGCTGCTTTCTGAAGTGGGCTTTTCTCAGTGGGTCATGCTCAAGCCATGGGGTAAGTGCTGAAGACAGTTTTAACAGCAGTTTATCCCATTTCTAGCACTGAGCTTTGCTGAGGCACTCTCATTGTACCCTCTGATTGCTTTTTTCTGTCTTTGCTAGCTCTTTATGGAAGCATCTGTAACCTTAGCTTAAATTTCAGGTTTATGCTGTGTGCATTGTATGTACAATGTCCACATAAGTACAATGGCAGCCACAGGGTGACAATTACCTGCAACTGTCCATTCAGCTGAGAGGCAGCTATTGCTAGTAAATATTTGAGTTTTATTTTATTGCTAGTTGGAAGTGCTCAAGTGACTGGTGCTGCATCCAGGCCTGGAGAACTGCTGCGGCTCCTATGGAGGCTGCAGAGAGGACCTTTGATTGAGGGGCTGGGGCTGACATGTGGACTCAGCGGTTTCCCATAGCAGGTTCTGACATCTCTGGGTGTGATTGACTTGGGGTTAGACAATGATGTAAACAAGTATTGTAAAGTGTGGCAGTTTGCCATTTTGTTGTCATATTGCAAACAAGATTATCTTTACAATTGTGATATTTGCATAGCTAAGTTCATACCAAAGAATAATGATAGTGTAGTATCCAGGAAAGATTAGATTAAGAGAACAGAAGCAAGAGCTAGGGATGGCTTCATGTTAGTGTTTATTGAATCTCTGCTGGTCCGTTCGACCACAAAGCAGCCACATCCACGGCTGCCTGGCCCAGTGAGGAGCGCTCAATGAGAATGCAATGCAGAAAGCAAGTGGGGATATTTGAAGAATATTCTTCATATATTCTTCTCTTTCCAAGTCTAAAAATAAGATTCATCCTCTCAGCAGTTCCATTTGGAAAACCTAAGAAAATAGCTGTCAGCTCTTGTATACAATGTTTACTTGTGACTTTACTAAATTGCTGGTTAATGGTTGTAGTTAGTCCAGCACCAATGAAAACAATGACAGCGAATCAATGTTATTGTTCAATTAACAAAACATAATGTACTAGAAAGGCAGGACTAATACATAGGTCTCCATTAACAGGGTTTTAGAAAATGTTTGCTTTGATGGGTTTTCCTTCCCTCGCAAACATTTGCTTAGCAACATCTGATACCAGTTATGTAATATTTGATCTGTATGTGCAAAGTAGCTGTAAACCTTTTATCCTGTCTTCTGCGGTTCATCAACATGATTTCTGTTTCTGAATTATTACTAACAGTAGAGAAACTGCTGGGCAGGGTCCGATTTTCCTTGTCTTGGAAAATAAAATAAATTAAGAACTATCAAACAAAAATTCTTTATGCAAACAGTTATTATTTCAAAAGTTTTTGCTTTCCCCAAAGAATTTATTTGATCCAGTAAAGACCTAATCTTTATTTTATTGTATGAAAAAAAGACAAAGACTTTGATTTAAAAACTTACTTGCATATATGTATTCTTACCATTATAAAATGCCACTAGTTTTCCTTGCAATTTCCCTTAATAAAACCTCAAAAGGTTCAGTGCATTACAGTTGCATTTATAATGCTGAATGAGGGAAAGGAGGTGGGGAAAAAAGCTATCAAGGAAGTAGTTGCCTCTTTTTGGAGTTTACACATATAATTGAATATAATGTTTCAAAATATGTTTCTTCATCTCTTCTCTGGTGGTTCCTAGAGCTCAGAAGGTCTTCAGTGCCTCGGTCTTTAGATGTCATGCTGCACAGCAGAGGCCTCCCGTGCTTCATGCCTGTTGAATGCTTCCAGGCACCTGCCTCTCTCATGTTACCTGTGATTAGTCCCACACCCTCCTGCTTTCTGCTCTAAAGCTGTGGGATTTTATCTCTAAAGCAGATTTTGGAAAAAGATGGCTCAGATGTCTCCACATAAAAGTTGCTGAAGAAGTCAGAACGTAGGAAAAAATAAAGTAAATGTATATGTTTCCTGTTAGCTAAGAGCATTTTTGTGTGTACACGTTATATCTAAGGTCTTTATTGTTCTCTCTAAGCCGAAATGTAATCTGCAGTATATGAATCAATAGTGAAACTTTTAACATGAAAATCAGTATCATGACACGCATAGTGTCTATTTTGAAGGAGTGACTTTATAGAAATATTGCCAGCACCTTCTAAACGTTTTAGTGTGCCTGAATACTTTGCCTGAAGTGAGCTCAGGCTAAGCAGACACAGCACTACCCAAGTGGGTGATATGAGTGGGTATTTTTATATTCATAACTAATGTAAGAACGTAGTAAGTTATTGAAGTGGTCCCGTGTATCCTGTGTTAGGGAGGCAATTTTCCTGATACTACTAAATATCAATGGTGGCATTAAAAAATGGTACTGCAAGGTGACCTGAGTTCTTGTTGATCTTTTGTGAGGACATTAACTTTATCTTGATGGAAGTCCACTTGTTTTAAAGTGCTTTTCATAACAGAGCAGTACTTACTTAGGTTTATGTAATACCCGTAGCTGTATTAACTTAAGTACTAGAAATAAGGAAGCTGTTTAATCTGCAATAAATTGATCTGATATTTGCACTAGTATTTACAGCAACTTGTAAACTAGAAAGAAAAACTAGAAGAAAACCTCTGAGTCTTTTTTTTTTTTTCCCCAAAACAAACTTTTCCCCCTTCGTTCAGTGTGTAGCCTTATTGTTTACTTGCTGTATACTCCTATCACCTCGCTGTCAGGCAGAATGTCAATTTCCACCTGAGCTTTTCTTGCCTGTTCCTCCTGGAGATCCCAGGTGCTTCACTTGGAAATACTTCATGGAAATGCTCATGAACATCTGTTCCTTCCCGCTGCTGCTGCAGAGGGAATCACGGGTTGGGGCCAGCTCCCCCTGGCAGCTACTTGCAGCGTAGAAGTGGTGTTAGTGAGTGAGGGAGTTCAGCAATTTTGTGTTCACAGTAGGCCCTGTGCTAGCATGGCTTCTTGTATGAGGGGAATGATTGCTTGAGAAGATTGGTGCTTTAAAAAAAAACTAGTATTCAACAGCATTTTTGAGGTATGGATGGCAATTGTATTTTTCATTACTGAGATGTATGTTAGACACAGCATGGTGGCCTAATTGTATTTCAAATTAGCATGTACAGTTTCAGTGACACTTCAGCACAGACCAATTATTTGTGTATTCTTTCTGTCCTTTATGCAGGCAACACTTAATCAAGTATACACATTACCAATGTCCATCCTGATGAGAAATGAACTGTGAAAAACTTCAAGCAAACAAGTTCCAGCTGTTCACACAAAGGCTTGCGCAAGTCATGCATAGTGGTGCCACAAAACTTTCCCCACAATTTACTGCTGATCAACATGTAGCTCACTTAGTTTCCTCCAATTAAAATTTGCAAACAGAAAAGCTTTCCAGTGTTAAGAGACTCATGTGCTTTCCTGGAGATTTGTAGTCACATGTTCTGGGAATGGCTGGGTGCACCACTCTGATACAATATAAAGGCAACGTCAATCACTTTCTCTCATTTTTTAATAGCTCCCTTCCATGCTTCTCTTTCTCCCTCATTTGAAATCTAAGATTAAAGGAACTTTACCAGATTTCAGCTACAGTTTAATCAGTTTAAGATGGATCTCCTCCATAGCAATGGGGTGCTTATCATCCAGCATTTACAGAAGGATTACAGGGCTTATCAGGACTTCCTTAATTTCATGTCACATGTTGGTGATCCCCGGAATATATTCTCAATTTATTTTCCTCTTTGGTTTCAGCTCAATCAAGTAGTTGGTACTAAAATGATATGGGTGGCAGTCATTGGTGATTGGTTCAACCTCATAT